AAAAAAAAAAAAAAAAAAAAGCTCTGGCCAATCTGTGTTCACAGAACCACTTCTTTTGGTTTCTTTAAGTAAAACTGAGGCAGCGAGGTCTTTCACAGAAATTTACCAATCACTGTAGACAAAAAAATAGGGCAGAAATTCAGCCCTTCTGTCCAAAATGACTGGCATAGGGAAGCTTCAGGCAGAGTAGGGAGAGGTGTCTTTTTTTTTTTTCTCTTTTGAGTCAGGGTCTTAGTCTATCGCCTAGGCTGGAGTGCAGTGGCAAAGCTGATGGCCACCACAGCCTCGACCTGCTGGGCTCAAGCAATTCTGCCTCAGCCTTCCAAGTGACTGGAACCACAGGCCACACGCCACCACGCCTGGCTAATTTGTTGGTTTATTGTAAAGACAAGGTCTCACCAAGTTGCCCAGGCTGGTCTCGAACCCTTGGGCTCAAGCAGTCCTCTCATCTCTGCCTCCCAAAGTGCTGGGATGACAGGTGTAAGCCACTATGCCTGACAGGAGAGGCATCTTAAAGGTTCCCCACTGAGAGCCTCCCTCCAGGCATCGTGATCACCGTTTGGTGGAGTCTAGGAGATGAAAAACACAGCTGGACTACCTCCCAGCTTACAAGATTCCATCACCACCTCATACTGTCGGTGTCTTGAGTGGGATTTCACTTCTTCCTCTAAGGGACGAGGCTTTGATCTGCAGGCCCAGCAGGGAAGCCTGATCACCACTGCCTTCCTGCAGTATGGGACTTGCGTCATGTGTGATTATAGATGTTTCAGGGTCAGATCAAGAAGAGTAGAATATGATTCCCACTGGGCGCAGTGGCTCACACCTATAATCCCAGCACTTTGGGAGACAGAGGCTAGAGGATTGCCTGTGTCCAGGGTTTGAGAGCAGCCTGGGCAACACGGCAAGACCTCATCTCTACAGTAAATTTTTAAAAAGTTGACATAGTAGCGTGCACGTGTAGTTCCAGCTACTTGGAAGGCTGAGGTGGAAAGATCGCCTGAGCCTAGCAGATCAAGGCCTTGGTGGCCATGAGCCTGCCACTGCACTCCAGCCTGGGTGGGAGAGTAAGACTCCGACTTAAAAAAAAAAAGTTACTAAGTAAAGGAAGTTGGCATACATAAAACTGTAAAATAAGTCAAGTGTAGGTGGTGTGAGAACATGGCGTGATTCACGGCAGTGGCAGGGGAGGATGGCCAAGGTCGCCCATGTCTGGGGATGGCATCTGGTGCTCAGCACCCATGCGGAGGAGGTGGGAGGGCAGCTGAGGTCATCCATGTCAGGGTTGGCATCCCATGCTCAGTGCTCATGTGGAGGCGGGAGAGTGACTGAGATCACCCGTGTCCAGGGATGCCATCCTGTGCTCAGTGCCTATGCAGAGGCAGGAGGGCGGCTGACGTCATTTGTGTCTGGGGATGGCATCCCGTGCTCAGCGCCCGTGCAGAGGCAGGATCAAAGACCAAAGATCGCGCTGTCAAGAAGTGTCTGTCAACTCAGCTCTGCTTTGTTTCTTCTGCAGTAGAGCGCATGATCCGGAAGAACCAGTGTCTCTTTACTGACACCCAGTGCAAGGTGTGCTGCGCCCTGCTCATCTCTGAGTCTCAGAAACTGGCACATTACCAGGTATGCCATCATGCTCTCAGAGCTGCTGTACTCTGCAAGTCCAGGCCAGACCCCTTCCCCCTGGCGTGTGGGTGAAGGGCAGCTCCCCCTTGGCCACGGGCACTGCCTGGCGCATGCTGGCTTGGGACTTGACAGCTGACCGAATCTCTCTGAGCCTCGTCTCTCCCGCCACGTCAGGGCCATCGTCATGCCTCTCCTTCACAGCTTGGTAGAGCAGAAAGTGCGAGCTTCAGCTTTAAGTAGACCTGAGCAGAATCACTCCTCCACTACTTGTCCTGGGCAGGAAATGCCATCCTTCTCAGCCTCAGTTTCCTCATCTATAAAATCGAGATGGCCTTAATTCTCTCGTGGATTGTTGTGAAGGTTTCACTGATAGCTGTAAAGCGCTTTCTGCAGAGTGGGAACCCAAACTTCCCCACCCTCTCCTCCTGTAAAGCTTTGAGAGGATGATGAATCAGAGAAAAGTCTAGTCAGTGTTTTGGGTAACAAAATGGCATCTGGCTATCTTTGATCTTTTTCCCGGGTTCTTACAGAGCAAAAAACATGCCAACAAGGTGAAGAGATACCTAGCAATCCATGGGGTGGAGACCTTGAAGGGGGACATGAAGAAGCTAGACTCAGACCAGGTAATGCAGCTGCCAGCCGAGCCTCCTCCCTTCCTGGCGAGCAGCAGCAGGTCGGCGTGGCGGATGAGTGCGGGCTTGGCGTCATCCTGACTGGGCTTCACACCCCCCCGGCGTGTGACTGGGGCCAGTCTGCGACTTATCGGAGCCTTGATTTCTTCCTCAGTAAAAACAAGGATGCTAATGTCAGCCACCTTTCAGGATTTTTTCAAACAAGAATGAGAGGTTTATAAAAAGTACCCAACCCAGAGCCTGGCACATAGTAGGGACTCATAACAGAGCTGCTGTTATGCATTACCGCCCAGTGACTTGTCAGAGCCAGACTAAAAGCACCCGTTGCCTACTCAAGGCGGGGCATAGAAGGAAGCCAGGCCGTTCATTTTCTTGAGAGCCAGGGAAGAGAACTGAGTTCAGCACTTGAACATTTTGAGTGAACTAGCAGAAGGCACTTTTCCAGATGCCTGCCCTAATTGCGAGGTAATCACCTTTGCTTTTTGGCTCAGAAATACTGTGAGAATTCTGCTGAAACAGTTCCCACCCATTGGGAGTCACATCATGCTTGTAGTGGGAGGCTGTGGAAGCCCACGGACTGAGACGTCAGCAGACCAATGCCCAGCAGGGCTCTGCATGCAACTGGGTAGGTGACTGTGGGGGACAAGTTGCCCAGCCTCTCCAGACTTCGCCCTTAAAGTCTTAACGACATGGCTCAGCCTGTAATCCCAGCACTTTGGGAGGCCGAGGTGAGTGGATTGCCTGAGCCCGCGGGTTCAAGACCCGCCTGGGCAACTTGACGAGACCTCATCTCTACAACAAATCAAAAAATTAGCCTGGCGTGGTAGCGCGCGCCTGTAGTTCCAGCTACTTGGAGAGCTGAGGCGGAGGGATTGCCGGAAGCGGCCACTGCACTCCAGTCTGGGCGACAGAGTGAGACTCCAACTCAAAAAAAAAAGTCTTAACGATAGTGTGAGGTAAAATTCTGGTCCCTAGCCAGGTGCAGTAGCTCACATCTGTAATCACAGCACTTTGAGAGGCTGAGGTGAGAGAATTGCCTGAGCCCAGGGGTTCGAGACCTCGTCTCTACAATAAACCAAAAAATTACCCGGGTGTGGTGGCGTGCTCCTATAGTTCCAGCTACTTGGAAAGCTGAGGTAGAAGGGTTGCCTGAGCCCAGCAGGTCGAGGCTGTGATGGCTGGGAACGTGCCACTGCCCTCCAGCCTGGGTGACAGAATGAGACTCCAACTCAAAAAAAAAGAAATTCCAGTCCCTAGTAGGTGTCCAATGAGGAAGAGTTTACTCTACAAACGGCTGCCTCCTGTTATGGTGGCCACAGGTTTAGAAGATCCTTGCCTGTCCCTTCTCTAAATTCACTGGACTCGTCCCTGATTTCCCTTCTTAGACTTTAGAGTTTCGGGAGACAGGGTCAACTGTGTGACCCTGGGCTAGTTGCTTCACGTCTTTGCACCTCTTGTGAAGGGTGGCTCAGCGACTCAAATAAGATTGCAGCCCCTGCCGGTGTCCCACACCCCACCCGCCTCCACCACCCCCACTAGCAGACCGTTATCAAGCCCAAGATGGCAGTGGTGCCAAGGCTGAGAAATGCAGAGTGAATGCCCCACTGAGAGCTCAGACTTTCTCCGAGAGTGTTGAGGCTCTTACGTAGCCTTGAAAGACATTTTGCCTAGCCTAATCACAGTCAGCAAGTAAACCCAACAGTCTGCTTGTCCAGTGAGCTCTGAGCGTCTACTGTGTGCCAGACTTCAGCAAGGGGCAAGGGACAGGACGAGCCAGACCAAGTGGCCCCTGCCCAAGTGGCACACTTGAGTTCACAGAAGTCTCCCGAGTGGTGACGCTGTCAGTTTGGGGGCAGATGGTATGATCGAGGCCTGGGTAATGCATCCTAGGAGGACGGAGCAGAGCAAGATGAATTCTCCCTGGAATATACACCCAAAGGGGCTTGATAAGTGTTTGCTCAGTGATTTCCTTGAGCGAAAGTCTCCCAGAAAAGAGCTGATATTTTGATATTTAAACTGGTCCTTATAGGCTACGCAGACTTGACGCCAGGCAGGAAAGGAAGGAATAGCATTCTAGACATCAGGAGAGGCCCAAGCAAAGCAAGGAAGCAGCAGGGAGTAAAGGGGGGTGGGGAGGAGAGCCTAGGACGAAGGAGCTGAAGAAAAGTCCACAAAGTAGGTTGGGGCTAGCGTGAGAAGGGGGCCCTAAGTACCCATTCTGCGGGCAGTGGGAAGCCATGGAAGGTTCTCTGACTGGGCAGTGGCGTGATCAGACCTGTGTTCTCTCTCCCAACCAGAAGAGCAGCAGAAGCAAAGACAAGAACCAGTGCTGCCCCACCTGTAGCATGACCTTTTCCTCCCCTGTCGTGGCCCAGTCGCACTACCTGGGGAAGACCCACGCAAAGAACTTAAAGCTGAAGCAGCAGTCCACTAAGGGGGAAGGTACTGGCTTTCCTGAGTAGTGCTATGTTGGGACCCCTCCTGTCCTCAGGGCGCCACTGCCAGGTGCTCCCAGAGGTGCTCACCGGGGCCACAGACTTGGAGAGGTTGGATTGCCTTGGAGAGGCCAGGGCAGGCTGGATGCAATGGCTCACTCCTCTAATCCTAGCACTTTGCGAGGCCAAGGCAGGAGGTTCACTTGAGACCAGTTAGAGAGCAGCCTGGGCAACACAGGGAGACCTTGTCTCTACAGAAAATTCAAAAATTAGTCAGGTGTGATGGCACATACCTGGAGTTCCAGCTACTCGGGAGGCTGAGGTGGGAGGATCACATGAGCCCAGGAGTTCGAGGCTGTACTGAGCCATGATCACACCCCTGCACACCAGCCTAGGTGACTGAGTGAGACCTTGTCTCTTAAAAAAAAAAAAAGAGAAATATCAAAGTAGACTTCAGCTTCATTGAAATGCAGCCTCAGAGTTGTGCTCACCTGGCCTTGCTTTCTTTGGTTACATCAGTTTTTCTCTATAGAAGCTTAGCCTGAGCTTTCGTCCTGATTAACAGTTGTAACTCAGGCGTGCCCAAGTCCTCCAGGCCATGCCACCCTGAGACATTCTCTCTCCCAAGGAGGTGTTTCTATCCGGTTCCACCAGCCCTTACTCCCGTGCGCTCCACATTGAGAGCCAACTCTTGTCTTTCTCGCGTGCTCAGGGCATGCCCTGCTCACTTTAATCCTCAAAAGCGGCCTGTTCTCGAGAAGAGGACTTGCCTTTCAGGGCTGGATCCTTAGTGCTGCCACTGCTGCCCAGCAATCATTGGCTGCTGCTGTGAACTCACCCCCAGTGCAGACTTCTAAAATAGTCCCCTTGATCTTGTCACCCCTGAGGCTCAACTCTCACTTTCATCTCGTTAACTCCTGACTGTCTGGGTTGTAACCTCTACTAGCGGCAATGAGACAAGAGTGAAATTTCTTTGATCTTTACCATTTTGTTCTGGGCAATTTTTGCTTCTCTATTTTGGGCCAAGAAGTAGACTACACTATTAATGATATTATTGCCTTTTTTGTTTTACTGACAACAATGTTTTGGAAGACTTTGAAGATAGTGTGAAAAATCATTCGTAATTATACCTTTTATCACACCCAAGTCTAGTCATGTGTGGTGTGGAACAACAGAAGACGGACTTTGAAGTCACAGAGGACCAGGCTTAAATCCTGGCACTGCTGTTTACTATTTACTTATTTGTGTGTAAGTTTCCTTGTCTGTAAAATGTTAATAATCTATCTACTTTATAGGTTGTGAGGATAAAACAATGTCTGCAAAAACTCAGGACATAATAGACGTTCAGTAAGTGGCAGCTGCCGCTGTGATTATTGTCACTGTGAAGACAGCCAGTGAGTGGAGTCCCTCTGTGAGATGCAATAGCTGGGCAGACAGCTGCCACCTGGAGCACGTCATTAGCCTGGCTCATGTTGCTCCAGCACTGACTTACACCAGCATAGTTGCTTTTGTTTAAAGTCAGTGCTGGTGCCAAAAAGTGTAAACATTAGGCCAAGGGAAACTAGCTTAAGAATTGAATTTTATGGGGTCACAGGCTTTTCCACAAATGGGAAAATTCTCTGTAATACACCTGGTCCCTAAAGTTCTGTACTCAAGATGATTTTCCATGTTCACTTTTGGCCTCTGCCACATGCACACGTGTTTGTATATAGTTGCAATCGTGATGCATGTACCATTTGTATCCTGCTTTTACTTTTCATTTAATTTTGTAGTTTAAGCACATTCCATGTTATTACAACAGTTTATAACTATATTTCTGAAGTTAAACATTTTTGAATTGTAAAAATACAAGCATATTGTAGGAAATATAGAAAATATAGATAAATGGAAAGAAAAATTACCCATAATTTTACCTTTCACAGATAGCCACTGTTAACATTTTGAAGCACCATGCCTCTTATACTTTTCTGTTACATGTATGTGTGTATTTGTTTTATGTATACTTAGATTGACTTCATGTATATGTGCATGCAAACATAGAATACTTTAAATAACCTTATTATTTTTATTAAAAAATACATGTTCATTTGGAATAATTCCACTCAAACAATTGCAAAAAGTACAAAGAAGAAAGTAAACTATCACCCGACCCTTACCACCAACAGAGAGACACTATTAACATGTTGGTAACGTTTCAAAATACCAGTATACACATATAGACTATATACGTGTCTTTGAACAATGGTATGACCATAAACATAAAACTTTTTCGTCAACATTTTTAGTGACTGCATCACACCACATTTAAATATCCCTCTAATGTCGAACATGCACGTTTTCTCCCTCCACTTTTTGGCATCAGAAGTAACACTGCAGTGAACATCCGGTGGAACACTGTCCATATTTCAGGTTATGTTCTAAGAGAAAACGCTGTCAGGGTTCTCATTTTATTGAATAGCTGTTGGCAATGTCTCCACATTTACTTAATCATTCACCTCTGGTGCTTCTCTTCAGCACATTTTTAATGAGTAACCTGGACCAGGCGCGGTGGCTCACACCTGTAATCCCAGTGCCTGGGGAAGCCAAGGCAGGAGGATTGCTTGAGCCCGGGAGTTCAAGACTAGCCTGGACAAGATAGTGAGGCCTCATCTCTACAAAAAATTCAGAAAATTAGCTGGGCATGGTAGCATGCGCCTGTAGTCCCAGCTACTCAGGAAGCTGAGGTGGAAGAGTCGCCTGAGCCCTGGAGGTTGAGGCTGTGGTGAGCTGGATCGGTTGCTGGTTGGTGCACTCCAGCCTGGGCGACAAAGTGAGACCCTAAATAAAAAAAAGAGTGACCTTTATCTCTTAACAACCCTTATTACCTCTTTTCTGATGTGAAGAGCCTGCATTCACTGTAGAAAAGTTGGGAAAAAGTGAAGCTGGGCTCGGTGGCTCAGCCTATAATCCCATGCCTTGGGAGGCTGAGGTGAGTGGATTGCCTGAGCCCGCGGGTTCGAGACCCGCCTGGGCAACTTGGTGAGACCTCATCTCTACAATAAATCAAAAAATTAGCCGGGTGTGGTAGGGCGTGCCTGTAGTTCCAGCTACTTGGAAGGCTGAGGCAGAAGGATCACCGGAGCCCAGCAGGTCGAGGCTGTGGTGGCCGGGAGCGGCCACTGCACTCCAGTCTGGGCGACAGAGTGTGACTCCAACTCAAAAAAAAAAAAAGAAAAGTTGGAAAAAAGTGAAAAGCACTCTTTAGTGGATGTTTTTGGTCTTTCTTCCATGCAATCACCCGTGTGTTTTTGTTGTTGTTTTACAAAATTGAGGACGTAAGAAACAAATTGATGCATTTTTTTTCACTTGGCACCACAATCTGAGTATTTTCTCATATTATAAAATATTCTGAACTGGGCTCGGTGGCTCAGCCTGTAATCCCACGCTTTGGGAGGCTGAGGTAAGTGGATTGCCTGAGCCCGCGGGTTTGAGACTCGCCTGGGCAACTTGGCGAGACCTCATCTCTACAATAAATCAAAAAATTAGTGGGGTGTGGTAGCGTGTGCCTGTAGTTCCAGCTACTTGGAAGGCTGAGGCGGAAGGATCGCCGGAGCCCAGCAGGTCGAGGCTGTGGTGGCTAGGAGCGGCCACTACACGCCAGTCTAGGTGACAGAGTGAGACTCCAACTCAAAAAAAAAAAAATTCAGCAACATGTATATTACTTTTCGAATGACTGCCTGAAACAAGTCAAGGCCAGAGAAACTGAAGTTCCCTGTACCAGAAGTCATGTGGGAAAGCTAGACTTGTCTTCTGTCGTGCCGAGCCTCTCATGGCTCCCCAACTGGCAAGTGCAGGGGCAACAGGGCGTCTGAGCTGGCCCCTGCACACAAGCACCACTCAGCCCCACCCCGCTTCCCCCGCCGTGGGGTCCTAGGCCCCACATTTTTAAAGCAGCGGTTGCTAGCTTGACCGTGTGCCAGCCACAGACTTGTTCATCATGGCATCCACTTTACGAGGCATTGTGCAGCCTGCATTCAACAGCAGGACAGATGTTGGCGCACAGGAGGCTCACATGCCCACCCTGGGCTCTGCACACTGAAGTCACTGATGAGAAGCAGGGATGTTTTTCGAAGGTGGCAGCATGAGCTGCCGCCTTCGGGTCTTCCTTGCCTGCCACAGCAAAGAGGGCTTGGACATTAGGGTCACATAGCCCTGGGCCCATGCTCTAGCTGAGTGTTCTTGGTCGGAGAATTGGTTTTTCTCCATAATGTGGTAAAATGATGCCCTGGAGTGGCTCTGAGGACTAAAGGAGAGAATCTGCCTACAAAATGCACAGCTCAAGGTTGAATGCCATCCCCTCCACACTCAGCTAGGTTGCAGGGCAGCCCAAAGGGCATCCCTAGAGTGGTTACCTTTCTACATGACCCTGTATGAGCTCCCTCAGGGCCTCAGTTTCTCCATCTGGGCATTGGTTCTGAACTGTATAACCAGGGCACTTGGGGGCTGGAAATAAAGCTGCCAAACTCCTCATCCCACATGCTATGAAGTCCCAGAGAATTCTGAGGAATAAAAAGACTGCAGGGACGCGTCTCCATCTGTGGTGACTTGGCAGCTTGGCCGCAGATGTCTCTGGAGCCTCCTGGGCGTAGGAAGAAGTCGGGATTCATGTGCCTGCGGTTGTTAAAGCTGCTGAACAAAATAGTGGGTCTTGGGGTCCTCCAGATCCCCTCGACCTTCCCAGATAGAGAAGGCGTTCACTGTTGTGTCCCACAGGCAGTGTCATGACCCAAGTTGTTGGCTAGCCACGCAGACTTTCTCTGTTCAGCACACTCAGCACCTGGCACTGCGGGGCTTCTCATTGTTTCTGTTTGAACCCTCTCATGCAGTTTTGTCGAAGTGCCTCACAAACCCTTTCCTTGTGGCCTCCACCTTAGCCTTGCACCAGAATAGAGAGATGATTGACCCTGACAAGTTCTGCAGCCTCTGCCACGCGACATTCAATGACCCCGTCATGGCTCAGCAACATTATGTGGGCAAGAAACACAGGAAGCAGGAGACTAAGCTCAAGCTCATGGCGCGCTACGGGCGACTGGCGGACCCTGCGGCCACTGACTTCGCAGGTAGGAGGCCTGGCGTATGCCAGAGCTGACCAGGCCTTGCCCGCCAAGGTCCTGTGCCCGCCAGGCTGTGCTTTGCCTCTCTGGGTCTTCGGCAGCGGGTGCTCACTCAGATGCCTGCAGAAGCCAGACAGGAAACCTAATGCGTGCGAGCTGGGCGGGGTGTGGTCAGCTAAAGAGTGAGGCCTTCCCGGCCCAGGCTGGATAGTGGTTACTGTATCCTTCTGTTTTTAAAAGACTCAGGAAGCCAACGTGGTGGCTCACACCTATAACAACACATTGGGAGGCTGAGGTGAGAGGATTGTCTGAGCCCAGGGCGACTTGGTGAGACTTGATCTCTACAAACTTTCAAAAAATTAGCCGGGCGTGGTAGCCCACGCATGTAGTTCTGGCTTCTGGGAAGGCTGAGGCGGAGGGATCGCCTGAGCCCAGCAGATTGACGCTGGGGTGACCGTGAGCGTGCCATTGTACTCCAGCCTGAGTGACAGAGTGAGACTCCAACTCAAAAAAAAAGGTAATTCCGGCTACTTGGAAGGCTGGGGCGGAAGGATCGCCGGAGCCCAGCAGGTCGAGGCTGCAGTGGCCGGGAACGGCCACTGCACTCCAGTCTGCGCCACAGAGTGAGACTCCAACTCAAAAAAAAAAAAAAGAGAAAAAGACTCAGGAAAGCCAGATTTGTATAGAAATTCCTCTGGTTGTTAAGTGTGCAAGTAAATGTGAAATGCTTAAATGCTATGTGGGTCAAGCCTGCCTGCAAGCTAAAGGCGTGCCAGGGACCCTCAGTGCATCAGGTCAGCCCCTCACGTCTGCCCTGCTGGTTCTCATTGCCACTTCACAGTGGTGGACCCCCCTGGAAGGGTGGAAGGCACTTGCTGTCAGCAGAACTTAAACCCCACATTAAGGCCGTGCCTCCCATTCTCTGGTTGTGGTTATTTTAAGATCTCAGTACCAGGCGTGGTGGCTCAAGCCTGTAATCCCAGCACTCTAGGAGGTTGAGGCGAGAGGATTGCCTGAGTCCAGAGGTTCAAGACCAGCCTGGGCAACTTGAGGAGACCTTGTCTCTATAATAAGTTAACCAGACTTGGTGGCGTGTGCCTGTAGTTCCAGCTACTTAGAAGGCTGATGGAAGGACCACCTGAACCCAAGAGGTCAAGGCTGCAGTGGCTGTGAGCAGTGTGCCACTGCGCTCCAGCCTGGGTGACAGAGTGAGAATCCAACTCAAACAAAAAACATCTCAGTACCAAGAAAAACTAAAACTATCCACACCTGGACCCCAACAACAGTGGCTCAGTGTAGCTGTCTCAGCTCGACCAATGTGAGCACAGTGGGCACTCAGCAGAACTGTACTCCTCTCGCCATGCTCTTGTCAGTTAATGGTGGGCTTATTTGGATGTAACCCCATTGTCAGTTGAGGAACACCTGGAGGGAGAGAAAGAGAGAAGGTACTGGAACCTTGTCCTGTCTCCAGGACATTTGCCGTTCGTCAGTAGAGGATGAATTATTTGCTTCTATCAAGTACACACTTAACTCTTGTTCACAATATCCAGTGTATTTTAGTACTTTTTTTTGTATGTGTGTCAGGGTCTCAGTCTGTCCTTCTGGCTAGAGTGCAATGGCAAGACCACAGCTCACTGCAGCCTCAAATTCCTGGGCTCAAGCAAACCTCCTGCCTCAGCCTCCAGAGTAATTGGGACTACAGGCATGCACCACCATGCCTGGCTAATTTTTCTTTTCCTTTTTTTTGTGTGTGTATGTAGGAATCTCACTGTGTCCCCTAGACTGGAGTGCAGTCATAAACTCACGGCCACCACAGCCTCTACTACCGGGCTCGGGTGATCCTTCTGCCTCAGCCTTCCAAGTAGCTTGAACTACAGGTGCATACCATCACGCCCAGCTAATTTTTTGTTTTTTTATTTATTGTAGAGACAAGGTCTCAGCAAGTTGCGCGGGCTGGTCTCCAACCCCTGGATTCAGGCAATCCTCTCGCCTCCATCTCCCAAAGTGCCGGGATTATAGGCGTGAGCCACTGTGCCCAGCCATTTTTGTATTTTTTGTAGAGATGAGGTCTCACTATATTGCCCAAGCTGGTCTCCAACCCTTGGACTCAGGCAATCCTCTTGCCTCCACCTCCCCAAGTGCTGGGATTACGAGCATGGGCCACCACGCCTTGCTAACTTTTTGATTTATTGTAGAGACAAGGTCTCACCAAGTTACCCAGACGGGTCTCAAACCCCTGGGCTCAGGCAATCCTCTCCCCTGCGCCTCCCAAAGCACTGCAATTCCAGGCATGAACCACTGCACCCAGTGCCCTGTGTTCTTGTGCTGTATTGTCCTCATCTGCCAAGTGACAGTAAGGGTCTCACAGAATCACCACGAGGGGCAGTTACATGACGTGCATGGCCTGGATCAGGCATCGGTCAGCACAGCTGTTATTACTCTGAGCGTTTCAGCTGTAAGCTCTGGGGTCATTGGTCTGTGGTCGGGAAATGTCAAGGATCAGAGTGAGGGGATTTTGCCAAGGTCACACGAGGGCAGAACTGGGGGCCCAGTTCCATATCCTCTCCCCACATACTGCTCAGCCATGTGCAGAAAGGCCACTTCATCACCAGAACAGCCCTGGGAGTGAGACAAGGTGTCCGTGAGCGCTAAGGTAGAAAAACAGATGGTTTTCACAACAGGTGCTCCCATTAATTACTATGAGTGCAGCCCGAGGAGGGAGGCGCCTTCCCAAGAGGGCTCAGTGCAGGGCAGCCTTAGTGAGGCCACTTAGCTCAGCCCAGGTAGGAAAGACAGATCCACCCGATGTCACTGCTTTACCCTGTCATTCTTCTGTTGATTCAGCAGACAGCTGATGGAAGCCAGGCTCTGTGCTGGGGACATGGGGCACAAGGTGGTGCCCATGAAGGCTGAGGCCTCTGGGATTCTCACTGGGGCAGCCCCTCACCACACACACACACACACACACACACACACTCACCACACACACACACACACACACGCCCGGTCAGGCCTCAGAAGGGCACACTGCACACGATGGGGAAAACAGCATCTTCGGGTCCCTCTGACTGGATAACCGAGGTCTTGACTTTGGTGTGTGTTTCAGCCGGGAAGGGCTATCCCTGCAAGACGTGCAAGATAGTGCTGAACTCCATCGAGCAGTACCAGGCTCACATCAGCGGCTTCAAACACAAGAGCCAGTGAGTAGCCATTCTTTGAGATTCAAGGGGCCACAGTAGTAGCTCAGGCCTTCTGAGTCAGAACAAACCCCAGTAGTCCTCGGCTGAAATAGGGGCCTGGCAACTTTTTCTCAGAGGACAGAAGATGGATCAGTTCACAGGAAAAGTGTCTCTCCTGTGAGGTTTTTGCCACCGGCTCCTCCAGGCCTCTGCGCCTGCCGGACTGAGGGTTTCCATGGAGAAGCATAGATGGTCTCCTGGGCAGTCCCATAAAGCAGCAGTCCCCAGCCTTTATGGCATCAGGCACTGGTTTTGTGGAAGACAGCTTTTCCACAGACTGGGGGACAAGAGAATCATCAGACATTAGATTCTCATAAGGAGCGTGCAGCCTAACTCCCTGGTATGTGCGGTTCTCAATAGGGTTCACCCACCTATGAGAAGCCAATGCCACTTCTGACCTGACAGCTCCACTCACCCTGCTCACCGCCTGCTGTGCGGCCCGGTTCCGAATAGGCCACAGACCAGTACCTGTCTGCATACTGGTCCGTGGCCCAGGGGTTGGAACCCCTGCCACAAGGCACCTGGGTTTCCCGGCCTGTGACCCCCCGACTGGGAAGGGTTCTTCCACTGGTTGACCCTGTCCTCTGCTGCCATCAGGTCTGTGACAGGAGTTTCCTCTTTAGACCATTACCAAGTGGACCAAGTCCTCTCATTCACTGACCAAATATTTACTGAACCTCCATGTGGTGGCCGAGACAGACCCATTCCCTGCCCTGTGACCTGACAGTCTGGTGGGAGGAGACAGACAGACCAAGCAAGGGGACAGCCAGTAACTATGGCAAGTGTTTGCAGCTGTCCGGGCTAATCTTGTGAATGCCTGGCATCCGTCCATGGTTCTGGTGCTGGCCATCCTCACAGTGCCCAGGAGGAAAGGGTTGCTGTTCCCGTTCCGCAGACACAGGCATTCGCACTCCGTGGTGCTGTGAGCAGGGTCATGAGCTCACACCCTCCGTCCAGGCACCCTGCTGCAAAGGGCATGTGGCACCAAGGGCCGTGAGAGGAGAGGCCCAGCCAGGAGCTCCGTGTGGTTCCATCCCTTCCTCTGAAGGACAGTGTGCAGCGTGAGCTGCATGCCACAGCAGAGCCTCCCAAGATGGGTAGCACACCCCCGTTTTACAGATAAGGAAACTGAGTTTCAGGCAGCCAGTCTGCTGAGATAATTGCTTTGACTTTGGTGGTTGATACTCATAGCTTGTTCAGCTGAGTGATTTAAAGGTGGTGGAAACGCAGAGTATTTGAGTAAAAAAAGTCCTTAGTTCTCTCTGCTCCACCTGGAGTCTTCTCTCACATGTGGCATGTATTTCGTCATGCCTTCCTTGCAGCTTGGCTGGTGGCAGTTGCAGTGGATAAACCGGGCCAGCCAGAGCCCTGCCCCTGGGCTACCCAATGTGAAAAGGCTGGTGTTGGCTGGGGCCCGGTGACTCATGCCTGTGACCCCAGCACTTTGGGAGGCCGAAGTAGGAGGATCACTTGAGGCCAGGAGTTGGAGACCAACCTAAGCAACATAGCAGGACCCGTCTCTACAAAAGACTTAAAACTTTGCCAGGTTTGAGAGTTAATAGTAGTCCCCGCTACTCGGGAGGCTGAAGAGAAGGATCTCCTGAACCTAGGAGATCGAGGCTGCAATGATCTATGATTGTACCACTGCACTCCAGCCTGGGCAACAGAGTGAGACCCTGTCTCAAAAAAGAGAGAGAGAATATGCTAGTATTGTTAACTGTTTGTTCTCTCTCTGAACTTTCCAGCTTTGTGAACTTGGGCCTCTAATTCTTCTGTAAGATTATAGCCTCGGTGTGTTGAACACCCAACTCAGTCTCATCAAACTGTCAGCAAAAGGTGTGAATCGGAAAACGCCCTACTCCACGCCCACCTTTTACAACTGATGAACAGCCTCATTATCAGATGGGTTAAATGACTTGCCCATGGTCGCTTAGTTACTGGGAATTAGACTCAGAGTTCAAAACTGTTGGACTTCAGAGCCATCCATTTTGCCTTGCCACTGCCAAGTGGCATGAGGTCACGTCGGGCCCTGCAGAGCGCACGTTTGGCAGTGGAGAGGCACGGGCTGTGGTCCTGAACCCACCATGCGCATACTTGCTGTGGGCCAGCCGTCACCTCCCGAGCCTCCGTGTTTTGTGTGTGAAGCGGGTGCTGTTCTCATCCAGCTGGAATGGTGGGAACTGAGCCTGGCCGAGTGCCCGGCGTGCAGTGGGCCTCAGTGAAAGACACCAGCCTAGCCGGGCTCAGTGGCTCAGCCTGTAATCCCGCGCCTTTGGGAGGCTGAGGTGAGTGGATAGCCTGAGCCCGCGGGTTCGAGACCTGCCTGGGCAGCGGGACCTCATCTCTACAATAAATCAAAAAATCAGCCAGATGTGGTAGCGCATGCCTGTAATTCCGGCTCCTTGGAAGGCTGAGGCGGAAGAATCGCTGGAGCCCAGCAGGTCGAGGCTGCGGTGGCCGGGAGCGGCCACTGCACTCCAGTCTGGGCGACAGAGTGAGACTCCAACTCAAAAAAAAAAAGAGAGAGACGCCAGCCTGCTTGGCGCCCCACACCCAGGAGCTGGGCCACCACTGCCACCGCGACATGCTCACCTGTACCTTTGTTTCTCCTCCAATTGCAGGTCACCAAAAGCAGTGGCGTCACCCCTGGGCCAGGTTCCAGTGCAGAGGCCACTCGTTCAGAAAGACTCGGCTGCCTTGGAGGACTAGAGTGCTGCCCCAGCCGCAGGTTGGGCTGGCCGCGGGCCTTGGAGGGTGTTGCTGTCCTCCCGCCTCCACTGGCCTGCAGCCCCCGCTCCCTCCTTTCTCACACCAGGAGAACACAGGCCCGAGGCTGGCCAGGGCACAGGCAGCTCTGATTGGTCTGGGCTGGCCCACTCCTCTCCCCTCTAGTGCGGGCCTGTAGGCCATGGCAAGGGAGGCAGGGGTCTTGAGAGGACTCGGGGTCTCACAGGGGTCGCTCAGAGGGAAGCCCCCCACCCCCAGCTCCTCGGGTCGTGGGTGCTGAGGCCCAGCACCTGCCTTTCCTCTGAAGGTCAGTTTGGGGCCATTTTCTGTAGCTGAAGAGCAGAGCTCTCCCTGGGCTCCAGACAGCGCTGATGACACTGGAGCTTCCATGCCAGCCCAGGGCCAGGGCAGGAGGTCATGGATGGGAGTGGCTGCCACAGGGAGCTAGGACCTCATGTGACACCCCCTTCCCAGGAAAGTGCAGGCTTCTCTGAGCCTGGGTCCTGACACCGGCCGGTCGTGTGGTTTCTGCTGGTGGTGAAGCCTCCTCTGGGAACAGGGACAATCTTGGCAGGGTGTTGCTGTCCTCCCGCCCCTCAGCTCCTGAATGGTGCTAAGGACCTGCAGTGGCCGGCGCCAGGCAGGACGTCAGGAGGCCTCGGAGTGCCTTCCCCTCCTCCCTCAGAGGTGCTCTGACTGAGGTCACGCGGGAACATCCCTTGTGGGCAGGCTCCTTGAGGCTTCTGTGGCGTCCCGCCAGCTGCGAGGTCCAGGCTGCCCAGTCCCCAGCCTTGCTCTCCGTGTGCAGCAGACCAGCCTGCCAGGGGCTGTGGTGCTAGCCTTCGCCGTCACCCACCAGGCACCTTCTGGGTCCCAGGGAGCTGGGTGGGACCCCGGGAATGAATCGAAGAGCTGGTGCAGGGTCCAGGGTGAGGAGGCATGTTCCCCAGCCCACCCCAGGCTGCTCTGCTCCGCTGAGTCTCCTGGCTGGGCATGTCGCCAGGAGTGGATGTTTCTTCGTCGCTTTCAGGCAAGAATTTCCGGACGTGTCACATCGGAGGCCCCTCTTCACCAGGACAGAGAAGCCCCTAGCGGCTCCTGGGGCCTCCCCCATACCCCGCCCCTCTGCCTGTGAAATGCCTTTGCGTGTCGTGTGTGGGCGTGTGTGCTATGCACTGTCTCTCGGTCGCTGAAGCATCCAAATAAAGAGTTTCTCCCGTGAGCCAGCCTGCAGTTGAGCAGGCCCGGAGTTGGACCTCACTGCCCTCGGGTCAGTCCTGCCTCAGGACTTGGGAGGGAGACAGACTCCCCGGCTGCCAGGCCACCCGTGGACAGCTCCTGGGTGAGCCCTGCCTCTGCTGTCTCCTCATCCACGTCCCTGGCCTCAGGGAGGGCTTCGGGAGCTTAAGCTGAGGATCTGCTTTTTGCTGGAGGGACTCCTGGCTGCTGTGCGAAGGCACGCGTGGGAGCAGGCGAGGAGCGGGAGGCCAGTGAGGAGGCTGTGTTCGTTGCGACTCCCCAGGCCTGTCCCTCCGGGGTGAGGCCCAGCCTCATACTCCCTCTTGCTCGCAGTGGCGTCATGGGTGCTGGCTTGTGGGTGACTGAGGGAGGGTCCTGAGGAGAGGGCTTGGTGCCACTCAGCGCCTGCCCAGGGAAAGCTGTCCCATGGCACTCGACGTAGGCCTGGTGGTTATGAGGGCCTTTTCCGTGACCCCGAAATGAGCTGAGACAAGAGTGTTGTGTTTGGGTGCAGGGGACACACCTGTAGTCCCAGCTACTCAGGCTGACAGGAGGATCAGAACCCAGAAGTCGGAGGCTGTAGTGCGCCATGATCACACCACTGCACTCCAGCCTGGGTGACAGAGTGAGACCCAACTTCAATATACAGAGAGAGAGAACCAGGGTTTTCACTCTGTCACCCAGACTGGAGTGCAGTGGCCGCTCCCGGCCACCGCAGCCTTGACCTGCTGGGCTCAAGTGATCCTTCCACCTCAGCCTTCCAAGTAGCTGAAACCAGGCGTGCACCACCACACCCTGCTAATTTTTTGATTTGTTGTCGAGATGAGGTCTCACCCCTGGGCTCAGGTAGTCCTCTTGCTTTGGCCTCCCAAAGTGTTGGGATTACAGGTGTGAGCCACTGCCCCTGATCTAAAAAATACAATTTTTTAATTTAAAAAAACTTTTCTAAGTGATGGAACCCAGTGTGGGCAGCGAAGTGAGACTTTGTCTCTGCAAAAAAAGTTTTAAAGATGAGCCAGGCGTGGTGATGCGCACTTGCAGTCCCAGCCACTCGGGAGGCTGAGGCGGGTCTCCTGAGCCCTGGAAGTCGAGGCTGCGGCGTCTCAAGGGTGGTCGCTGAGAAGGAGGCTTCCCCCGCCCGCGGCCCCTCGGGCCATGGGTGCTGAGGCCTAGCCCTGCCTCTCCTCTGAAGGTCAGTTTGGGGCCAGTTCCTGCAGCTGAAGAACAGCGCTCTCCCCGGGGTCCAGTGCCACTGCACTCCAGCCTGGGCGACTGCGAGTCTCCAACTCAAACAAGACTGAAGTAAGTAGGAGTGCCGTGGCCTCAGGAACCTTTGCGCGTCCCCCACCCCGCCCCAATCAGCCAGCCCGCTGGCCCTCAGGTGGCCACCCAAGTCTGGGCTCCCGTTCTCCACCCGCAGCCCGCCGTCAGCACCTGCTCCCGGCCAGTAGGAGGCGCTCTGCCCCGGTTTCCCAGAGTCAGACAGACCGGTGGCCTCAGCCGTCTGAGTCCTGCTGCACCCCCAGGGTCTCAGAGGCCACTCCATCTTCCAGGCTGGGAAGCGGAAGGCAGGGGGCTGAGTGGGCTGCCATGCTCCGCCCTCGGCCTGCAGGACCCCTTGGCCTGGGCTCAGCAGCCCGGCCAGCTGCGTGGCCAGCCCTGTGGGTGTGGGGACCTTGGGGCGTTCACACTGTGAAAGGTCGCGAGAGGCAGGGAGCACACTCGAGGTCTTGCCTCTGAGGTGCTACACTGGAGACGGGAGCCCCCTAACTCCTCGTCCAGACCCCTTTCCAGAGGACCAGCGCCCTACCATGCAGCCCCGTGGCCTGTTGCGGGCGTCTGGCAGTGTGGCGGGCTCAGTGTTGGTTTTACATTCCAAGTCCCCCCATTCCTCAGAATTTTGCCCAATTCCTGTGTGTTACACTTTAGCGATAACTGAGAACACCAAATCAAAGTGGCTGGCTTAAAGGAACTGACTGATTCACCGAGTGAAGATCTGATACAGCAACATCTAGATCCAGGTTGTGAGACAGTGTCATCGGGAGAAGTTTCATCTTGCTCTGCTTTCATCTGTGTGACCTCATTCTCAGGCAGGCACTCTCCACCAGGTGGCAACATCCAGGCGTGGTGGCTCACACTTATAATCCTAGACTTTGGGAGGTTGAGGCAGGAAGAGTGCTTGAGCCCAGGAATCCAAGACCAGCCTGGGCAATGTAGCAAGACCCTGTCTCTTAAAATATGTGAGCCGGGCACAGTGCTATCATCCTAGCACTTTGGGAGGCCGAGGTGAGAGGATTTCCTGAGCCCAGGGTTCAAGACCAGCCTGGGCAACTTGGCGAGCCCTCATTTCTACAATAAGTCAAAAAACTAGCCGGGTATGGTGTTGCGTGCCTGTAGTTTCAGCTACTTGGAAGGCTGAGGCGGAGGATCGCCTGAGCCCAGCGGGTTGAGGCTGTGGTGGCCGTGAGCATGCCACTGCACTCCAGCCTGGGCGACAGAGTGAGATGGATTCATAAAAATAAATTTAGCCAGCCGGGCTCAGTGGCTCAGCCTGTAATCCCGCACCTTTGGGAGGCTGAGATGAGTGGATTGCCTGAGCCCGCGGGTTCGAGACCTGCCTGGGCAGCGAGACCTCGTCTCTACAATAAATCAAAAGTTAGCCAGGTGTGGTAGCATGCGCCTGTAGTTCCAGCTACTTGGACAGCTGAGGCGGAAGGATCGCTGGAACCCAGCAGGTCGAGGCTGTGGTGGCTGGGAGCAGCCACTGCACTCCAGTCTGGGTGACAGAGTGAGACTCCAACTCAAAAAAATAAATAAGGAAATAAATAAATAAATTTAGCCATTCTTGGCCAGGCACAGTGGCTCATGCTTGTAATCCCAGCACTTTGGGAGGCCAAGACTCCTACTTTGAGCCCAGGAGTTTGAGACCAGCCTGGGCAGCATAACGAGATCCTGTATCTACAAAAAATTTTTAAAAACCCAGCCGGTTGTGTGGTACACACCTCTAATGACAGCTACTCGGGAGGCTGAGGTGGAAGGGTCACCTGAACATAGGATAGGAGATTGAGGCCATGGTGAGCTGTGATCATGCCACTGCACTTCAGCCTGGGTGACAGTCAGACCCTGACTCCAAAAAAAAAATTAGCCATTCGGGTGGCACCCAGGAGTTTTTAATCGAAAGCTCCTGACTAAATCAGCGTCCCTCTTATTCTTGGCCTTGACATCCCAGAGACAGGTTGGAACTTCTCCAGCTTGGACGGTCTCCATTGGCGACAGAACCCATGCTGTAGCAGGGGAGTGTCAGAGCTCCTGCCCTCAGCTCTGGGGCTGGGCAGGATCTCGGTTGGGTATCAGTCCGGAGAGGTAGGGTCGCGAAGAACTCTGGCTCTGGGCCGGGCTTGGTGGCTCAACCTGTAATCCCAGCACTTTGGGAGGCCAGGGTGAGTGGATTGCCTGAGCCCACGGGTTCGAGACCCGCCTGGGCAACTTGACGAGACCTCATCTCTACAACAAATCAAAAAATTAGCTGGGCGTAGTAGCGCTAGCCTGTAGTTCCAGCTACTTGGAAGGGTGAGACGGAAGGATTGCTGGAGCCCAGCAGTTCAAGGCCGCGGTGGCTGGGAGTGGCCACTGCATTCCAGTCTGGGCGACAGAGTGAGACTACAACTCAAAAAAAAAAAACTCTGGCTCTGGCATCAGACAGCCAGGGTTCTGATCCCAGCTCCGCCACTGCAAAGCTGTGTGACCTTAGTTCGCCTCTGC